GTCTCACGACTTGTTAGCTGTCTGAGGTCTGGAGTAGAGGCAGCAGTGCTGGGTGGGGCACCTTATCCACACTGCTTAGCTCTGTGCACCTCTGCTTCAGCCTGAGCCTCGTATCATGACTCAAATTGGACTCGTGACCTCCCTTGAAGTTCCCGTTCTCAACCTGTGGGTTGCTATCATCAGAAAATGTATTTCCCATGGCCTTAGAAATGGAGACACCACTCAGCACCAAATTTACAGTCACGAAGTAGCAGCAAAAATAAATTGTGGTTGGGGTTCCTAAGAGCATCGTAAATACGTGTTTTCTGGTGGTCTCGACCCACAGGCTGAGAACCACTGCCAGAGAGCATGCGTGGAGTGCAGAACGGCCTGATTTTCTGATCCCACTGGCTGTTCACCATCCCCACCTCCTTCCAACCCCCACTTCCGGCTCACGGCTCTGCCCTCTTGCACAGAACCTCAGCTGTCTTGGCTCGCTTCCTACCACCGTGATGAAATGGCAACTTGGGGGAGGAAAGGGTTCATTTTGGTCTGTAGTCTATCCTGGAAGGAAGCTATGGCAGGAACTCACAGGAGGACCCTGGAGGCAGGAACTGAAGCAGGGGCCATGGAGGAGTGCTGCTTTGCTCCCCCTGACTCGCTTAGCTTGGCTTTTTATGTAACCCTGGACAAACTGCTCAGGGGCTGGGCCCCCCACAGTGGTCTGTGCTCTTCCCCATTGATCACTAATCAAGGAAATGCCCACAAAGACTTGCCACAGGCCAATCTGCTGGTGGAAGTTCCTCAGCTGATGCTCCCTCTTCATAGACAACTCTAGTTTGTGTAGTTGACACAAAACTCATCAGCATATGGGCTCGCCCGTACCCACACTTCTGTGCACCGTGCCCTGATCTCCAAGCCCCTTCTTTCGCAGCACCGTCCTGCTGACCCAGTATCCCAGTATCCCAGTATCCGTGGCAGAAGCCCTGGAACTGTCTCAGCGTGGGAAGGATGGATCCTAGGACAACTGATGGGAAGGGACAGGAAAGTGTAGGACTATGTGGAGGCACAGCACGCATGGGGCTGTATCACCTGTATGTGCCTCTGATGTGTGCATCTCTGTGTGTACTGTGTGTCTGTGAGTGTCTATGGGTTTGAATATGTTTAATGCAAATGTGTGCATGTGTCTGTGTTGTCATGTATGTGAGTCTGTATGTGCATCTCTATGGATGCAAATGTCTGTGCACATTTTGTGTGGGGGCATGTGTGCTATTGTCTGGGTGTGCATTATCTGTGAGGTGTGTATGCACAGGCACACACTACACATTTGGTTCCATGCCTCATCAATGTTGTTACGAATGGGCCATGCTGTTTTCTGAACTGTCAGAAACTGAGAACTACTGAAAATATTCCTTTGGAGCAAAGAAAAGGTGAAAATGAATCCACCTGCAATCTCAGTCCCTGGAAGATAGAGGCAGGAAAATCACAAGTTCAAGGTCAGACTTAGCTATGTAGCAAGTCCAAGGCTGACCTTGACTAAATGAGACCTTGGATAGATAGATAGATAGATAGATAGATAGATAGATAGATAGATAGATAGATAGAT